CAAAATATCATAGTCCTCATATTTTATCGAAGCCTTGAGTATTTCATAAGACAGCTCCATGTGAGCCAGGTGAATTTCAATCATCTCAAATTTATTCACTGTTCAGGGTGTGGTGAGGATAGAAGATAAAAATACACTCAGGTAAATTTAGAACAGAGTATCCAGTCAATACAGTTATAATTCTTATTTTTTTAAAGTTGGCTGACTGTAAGGTAAAAAAGTTCTCTATTTATATGCTCTTCCCACTGGCATGCCTGTCTTTTTACACACACACACACACACACACACACACATTCAACTAAAGAGAAATGGAATTTGAGGCTAATTTAATGTGACTGAGCAACATAGTCCCTTGGTGAAAGTATTGGAAATAGTTGCAGAAAATGTAAAATTTTATAAATTGAGCTAAATATTTTTGTGAAAATTTCAAAAGTATAATTTTAGGGAGTAAACTTCTTGCCAAAATACCTTGATGTCATAGCCGCATGTTAGAGTACAGATTTTCTGGGAATAATAGGCTGCTTGCTTTTCTGGTCATGACAACTCAAATTCAACATTGGACCTCACAAAATGCAATTTATAGATTACAAAACTACAAACAATTTAAGACAACAATAGTAAAAATGGCTGTAGAATCGACAAAAAATGAGCAAAAACCCTTCACCGAGTCTTAGAAACTTTATTGACAAGGGGTAAATTGCTACATAGACATCCTGCCATGGAAGAGAATCCACTGAAGGGAACAATTTTCTGCAAAATAAAAATACTTTGTAAGGTTTGAGAAATAAGGGAGTAACCTGTTTGCCTCCTGACCACGCCCTAAACATTTTAATGCATTTGCAAAATTGATCAGCATCCTGATTTGTAACAGACTCGCCTGAATCCTGCTCATCACCCCTAAAGAATGGCAGAAGCTCACTTCTTGGTAGAAAAGCCAAACTCATCTTTCCTCAGCAGAGCTTGGTTCAATATGTAGCTGAACCTATCTTGTTGCTGGTCACAAATCTATTCTGCATCCGAATAAAACTGCTTTTAATCTTGTTTATGATTTCTTGGTTTATGCCTGAAAACTGCAGAAGCAAATTAACCTACAGTTTAGTGTTTCCATGTGAACTTGCCATGGGTTTGGTCAAGGATAGTAGAGTAGGCAGATAATTCAGGCTTCATTGGCCCCAGAAATTATATTTAAGGGGAGAATTTCAGAAGGTTAAGCTGAGCCTGATTAAACTAGTTAACCCTTCTTCACTCTTCTGTGTCTTATTCTCAACCGGTGGATTCTCATTACTTATGGGGAATTGTCTACGAACTGCAGTCTACATCATATCATTCCCTAGGGCAATGGATCCCTGTCACCTTTAGACAATAGCCCCAATGGTAAAGAACATTGCAAGCTCAGAATGACTTCATCCTCACCTACCTTTCCATATTTTTCTGATGTCACATCCTCTTTACTCCCTGTACTGGATTTTGGAGAAGTTCAAAGATTTAATGCCTGTTACGTCCAGGCCTTCAGGTAGGTGGCTCTCATCTCCATTTGGCTGACTCTTACTCATTTTCAGGCTCAGCTTAATTGTAAAGCTCCAGGGACATTTCTCAGCTATCCATAGTGAGTGAGATCAGTTTCCATCATAGACAATCTGATCCATTGTATTTGCAGCCCTTGGCAGAGTTCTAATTCTTTCAATTAATCACCTGAGGTGATTTGTCTAATCTATGTCTACCACTAGAATGTAGGTTTCTCCAGGGCTGGCATCATGAAGATTGCTAATGTTGTGGTTCCTAGCATTGCATACAATGTCTAGAAAACTGAAGATACAAAACATTTTTGGGCTGAATAACCAAATAGAATTCTGTTTTTGGAGGTGTGGTACTAAAGTCCCAATTAATGACAGAGGTTACCTTCGTTGCTTCGTTCTCTGAGACAGATTTCAGTTAGGAAATTCTGAAAGAACTTGCAGGGCTAAACACTATTTCCTTATCCCTGGTCAGACAGCTTCATAATTTAATGTTTTTCTTCTTTTCTTTGTAACTTTTTTGCTTGTATTTAAAACTCATTTCACTAATGCAAAATAGTCTAATACTTTAATACTTTACATATTTTTCTTTTAAAAATTATTCATTTACTTTAGATTTGTTTGAGAGACAAAGAGAGAGAGAGAAACACAGAGAGAGAAATAAAAAGAGAGAGAAACAGAGGTATCTTCCATTCTTGGGTTTAATCCCCTCATGCCAGCACCAACCAGGGCTCAGCCAGGCTGAAGCCAGGAACTTGGAACTCCATCTGGTCCCCTACAGAGGTGGCAGGGATCCAAGTACTTCAGCAATCATCTGCTGCCTCCCAGAGTGTTCATTAGCCAGAAATTGAAATCAGGAGCTGATCTGGGACTTCAACCCAGAAACTCCCACATGGGCTGCAGGAATTCCAAGAAGCATTTTAACCACTAAGCCAAACATTCACTCCAGTCATTGTTTTTAATGAAATGAATACAATGTAGAGAATTTTCCTTTAGGTTTCCTCTTAAAACAGTTTTTTTAAAAAATTATACATATTGCAAATAGAATAGCTTATTATTTTATAAAATGTTAAGATTTCATTGCATTATGGATAAATCACTCATTAGTTTTTGCTTTAATGTTTTATATATTTTTTTTTGACAGGAAGAGTTAGTGAGAGAGAGAGACAGAGAGAAAGGTCTTCCTTCCGTTGGTTCACTCCCCAAATGGCCGCCACAGCCTGTGTGCTGCACCCATCCAAAGCCAGGAGCTGGGTGCTTCCTCCTGGTCTCCCATGTAGGTGCAGGGCCCAAGCACTTGAGCCAAACTCCACTGGCTTCCCAGGCTACAGCAGAGCGCTGGACTGGAAGAGGAGCAACTGGGACAGAATCGGTGCCCCAACCGGTACTAGAAACCATAATACATGTCTGTATTTAGGGAATCCCACAACTTACATAACTGGGGAGAAGGAAGAGCTCACTGAAGAGGAAAACACCAAGAATTTACTTTAAGAGCACCACTTGACCTTGGGTGCGTGAATTTGACTGGGACCAAATGCAAGTCCACTGTGTGGGTGACGCAGCAGCTCCAGCATGACTTCTCCAGCTACAGCACAGGCAGTAGTGGTGCCAGATTCCCAGCAAGGGTAGAGATAGCAGTAGTGGTCCAAAGCATGGCACGAGATGCAGTCATCATTATTTTGCAGTGATTTTTCTTAGTGTGCAGAATTCCTGATGACTCTCTGAATCTATTAATTATTCAGTGTCCACTTAAGCCTTTTCTGCTTAAATGAACCATGCATCATTTCTGTTGTCTCTCATCAATATTCCTGAAGGAAATATTGTCCATGCTTGGCAAAATGCATACTTATATATCTGCTTTGATTATCAATGAATGGAGCCCTCAAATTCCTAGTGTTTTCTTAACTTTCATATTGCAAAATGCATTTTCCAATATTCTATTTGGCGAATGTATAAAAGGATTATATGCAAAAATTTTAGGTAAAGTTGATTATGTTTAAGCCAGAGTTTATAACCAAGATACCACTGTTAGAATAGTACAGACTTAGTTTAGACAACAAGGCTTCTGTTTTTGTTGATCAAACAGAAAACTTGCTTGTGTTGTCATATGCCACACCTTTTTAACTGGTAAAATAATGTTACAGATGACATCCAGATATTCCTAGGGGAATGCAATGACTTTACACAACGAACAACATGTCACAAGAAAAATAATATAGAAAATGGTGTGACTAAAATTCTGATGAACAATGTTTTATTCCATCCAGATTTTTTATTCATCCATAGAATTTCCTATATTTTATTATCTCTCCTAATGAGCTTTTAGGAGCATGTTATATTCTACTCCAAGAAAATATATATTCCTTTGGAAGGCTTGAATATAAGGCTAGAAATCTGGGAAATAGATAACAAAAGAAAATTCATAAATACTAAAAAATAATCGGTTAGTCTGTCAGATGGCTTTGGGTATGAATTAACTCAGGTCTTAAAACACAACACAAATAGGCCCTTAATACTTTTTCTTCATTTCACAGGGAAGATGTTTTAGTGACTTAAGTAAATTGCATAAAATCATAGAACACATATTAGATGGAATCAAAGTGCAAATTCAGGCACTCTGCTGTGAAAGGTCATATTTTGAAACAACATGAAACTGTATGGTGAATTTAATTACGTCTTTAAATTTGGGTTGGCCCTTTAGCTACTTTCATCAGCTAAATACAAGCATGACCATTATTTGGGCTAGAAGTTTTGGATTCATGCTTCTTTTTAAAAATATTTTAGTTTTACTTATTTTAAAGGCAGATTTACAAAAAGGGAGAGAGAGAGAGGGAGAGACAGAAAGAGAGATCTTCCATACTTCGTTTCACTCCCCAAATGGCTGCAACAGCTGGAGCTGGTCCTTGCTGAAGCCAGGAGCCAGAAACTCAGCCTGGCTCTCCCATGGGTGTGGCAGGTGCTCACGTACTTGGGTCATTGTCAGTTGCTGTATCAGTCACAGTAGCAGGATAGTGGTTTGGAAGCAAATCAGCCTGGACTTGGAACCAGCACTCTGACATGGGCACTGCAGACGGCTTTGACTGATGCACCACAGTGTCGGAACTGGTTTCATGCTTCTTAAAAGCCTTATTTAAGCCTATGGAAGAAGTCACAATGGAAAGGAACCGCAGCTCTTAGTGGGTGGTCCCAGCTGAGTGCCATGTGACAGCTACTACCACTTGCTGACTTGTTAGGACAAAGAAGCCAAACTGCCTGTCTGACCCTCAGTTGTTTGCGCTATTGCAACTGAAGTCCCCGATATCATTTCACAGAATTTGATCTGATCTCTTAAATGGATGAGAGTTTCAGAATATTAAGTACCATGTGAATGTCTTTGCATGTGGTTGGTGGCAGACAGCCCACTGATAGACTGAGTGTACTTGATGAAAACGCTACAACAAAGGCTCCCATCTCATATGCTCTTCCTCATCCTAATCTTGCTATTCTTCTATTAGGAGGTACAGTTTTTTTCTCTTTATTCCCTTGGTCTTGGTGTCTGACTTCTTTAGCCAATAAGATAAGGTAGAAAAGAATTCTGAATGACACCCTTTATCACACAACAGTCCCTAATTGCATTCTCATGGAACCCAGTTTCTATGTTGTGAAGAATCCTTGGAGAGCACCATATGAAGAAGAACTAGGGTCTCTGACTGATTTCCCTGTATTATTATAAGTGAACAAAACACACTTATCATTCTGGTTTATGTTTTTTAAAGATTTATTTATTTGAAAGGCAGAGTTACAGAGAGGCAGAGGCAGAGAGAGAGAGAGAGAGAGAGAGATCGATCGATCCTCCATCCACTGGTTCACTCCTCAAGTGGCTGAAATTGCCTGAGCTTGGCTGATCTGAAGCCAGAAGGTTGGGTTCCAGGTACTCGGGCCATCCTCCACTGTCTTCCCAAGCTATAGCAGAGAGCTGGGTCAGAAGTGGAGCAGCTGGGTCTTGAACTGGCACCCATGTGGGATGTCGGCATTTCAGGCTGCAGCTTTACACGCTATGCCACAGTGCTGGCCCCTCTGGTTCATTCTGATCCATTCCAGCTGAAACTCCACACATTGGAGAGCAAGAAACGGCCAATCCTGATATGCCCTGCTAGAAACTTGAACCACAGAATTGTAGGATTAATTTATGCCACTAGCTTTTGCAATTTTATGCAGCATAGTAACTGGACCATGCCTACTGATTGTGTATACCAAAACTCTTCAAGGTTCTGGACATACACGAGTGAGTAAAACAGATTATATCATCCTTACATTTAAGTTAGGAGAGATAGTGTGATATTGTGAAATTAACAATTTGATTTTCATTCACAATTCCTGAATTCCCTCCTCAAGGCAGCCCATAGAAACTAGGGTCTTTCTTCCTCAAGGTGAGTAATAGAAACTAATCTTCCTCCACCATTAGCTGGCCTTGAAGGATTTCTCTGCCCTACCTTTGTCTGATAATAGGTCAGAAGACCCTTCTCATTCCAGAGAGTTTCCATATTTGTGAGGTAAGAGTGATGAAGAATTTGAAGAGATAAGTGTTGCTGGGTTTCCCTACTCAGTCTGTTAGCAATCATGTCTATGCTATGAGGTCTCCAAAATTCCAAAAGGATAGGGTTTAGAGAGCTTCCACATAACTGCACACTTGTGGGTTCCTGAAGAGTGGAACACTTAGAGAGGTCACCTTGCCTTGTATGCTTTGTAATATTTTTATTATATACTTGCAGATCTAAACACTTTCCTGAGCTCTGTGAAACGTACTAGCAAAATAAAGCCAGAGAGGAAGTTAAAGACAACCAATTTATAGCCTATAAGTCAGAAGCACAAATCAAAAACAACCTGGGGTTTTCAATTGACCTCTGTCGTGAGAAGGGGAAATCTTGGAGATTGAATCCTAACTCCAGGTGGATAGTCTCAGGACTGAATTGAATAAGAGGACGTCCAGCAGGGATATGTTGCAGAATAGGCTGTTTGCTTGCTGGGGGTGAGATGTTGTCACACCTTTGAGTTGCAGAAATGTTATGTGTTGATTGTTGTGACCTGAGAGCACAGAACAAAAACAGTATTTCTTACTCAGGTAGAAATATTTAATTTCAAATAGTTAGAAGTTCTACAAAATAATACATACATAAATAAAACAAGACAAAAATGAGAGAGAGTGCCTCAAGGAGAGAGGTAACTATAGGTGGTAAGATTATGAAAAAAAGTATTGAAAAGGGGAGTAAGTTGAAGGATTGAAGATTCTAGACACATGGTGAGTAAATACAAAGAAGCTGAATTGGAGTGACCTTGACACATCCAAGGAGAAGGAAGGCTAGAGGGCCGAGGTTGAAGTAAAGGCAGAAGAATACATGAGCTGTGAACTGAGAGGTATCCAAGGGCTCTGTCAGCAACAAAAGGAGACTAGATTCCATTCCAGGAACAACATGAAGCCATGGGAGGGTTCCAAGGAAAGTGTAAGGTCTATTTCAGTTTTTATACACATTTAATTTGGGGTAATTTTGGATTCACAGAGGAGTAGAAAATACACAGTCCCTATACACTCCTCACTCAGTTTCTCTCACTCTTAATATCTTATATTACCAAGATGGATTTGTAAAAACTAAGAAGCCAACATTGGTATTTTACTATCGACTAAACTTCAAACTTTATTTGGATTTCACCAAATTTTTCATTGCACTGAGTTGTCATTCTTGTTGTCTACCCTGATTTAGTGGTCGTGTATCCTGAATTTCCTATGATCTGATGGTTTCTCAGATATTCCTCATTTTTTGTTACTTTCAGAGTCTTGAGGAGTGATTTATCATTTTTGTTGTTGCTGCTATGTGGAGAATGGCTTCCAGGAATACTACAGTGCAAATAGTAAGAACAAGGAATGTAACTGAACCTAAAGGGGTGGATTGCATCCTCTTGTATCAACTCTCTAACATCCAGTGTTTGCTTAATATTTACAACACATCCTAATTCTAGAGCTCAATAGTTAGATTGGACAGGATGGTTTTGGAATATGGGAGCTGATATACCACTCTCCCAAACAAACAACAAAAGTTGATTTCTTCTTTAAAGTATAAAATTCTAAAAATTTAGATAATTTTGTCTTAGTTAACAGTGTTGGAGTGCAGTTATTTTTAAATTCAGCATTCTTTTGGAGATTTTAAGAGTCTACACACTTAAAGCAGTAAGCCTGTCCCTAGGGATAAGTTTATTTGCCATAAATGAGCTAGCATATGCCATGATTCTAGGGCAAGATGCTAAGGCAGAGTCCATATTGTAACTGAAGGAAAGTAGTAAGTTGCAGGGGCTGAGCAGAGAACCAGGCTTCAGCGTCTTGAATGCCTGTTGGTTCTAAGGACAAATCTTCAGATGTATTCAAAGACATGTAGGAAGATGAATGGTCCAGGAGTCAGACTGCGTACTATGAAAGAGTGCCTTTGTGTTCAGTACAGTTGAGAAAGCCTGTTCCATGTTCTAAAAAATCTTCCTTCATGGTTGGTGCATTTGAACTCTCCTTGCAAGGCAGGCCTTTGTGTACATCTTTCGTGGTCAATCATACTCAAGACAAAGGAACAGTCATGAATTAAGATCCATAGGGAATCACAATGAGTCATGGAACAGTAAAGTGGTCCAAATGGAATCTAGAGAGAGTGAGAGAACCACCAGGAAGAATATCTATAATGGCAGTTCCAAAACTCTTTTATTCTCCAACCATCTTACACTTATAAAAATTATGGAAGACTCTCCAAAGATTTGGGATTTTCAGACTATCTCAACTACTGTATCAGAAATTAAAGTTGAGGCATATAAAATTGTATTAAATAAGTTATTTAAAATGAACAAGTATATACTACATCTTAATGTAAAAATAACAGATATTTTTATATCAAAGAACTATTTTTCAAACATACAATGAAAAAGGTAGTGGTTTTTTATGTTTAATAAAATCTGTTGAAGTTTGGATTAATAAAAGACAGCTGGATTCTCAAATTTGCTTCTTCCTTTACTTCAATGCAGTCATATAGCATTAGATGCTTATTTCAAAAGACACTTGTAAGACAGTGTTTAAATGGCAAATACTGTCTCAGTATTGTTTTGAAAGTAGTTTTGAATTTGTAGACTCTCTGCAAAAGATTTCTAGGGGTCCCTAAATCACATTTTGGGGACCATGTGGCTAAGAAACCAGATAGTTGAGATGGAAGTTTGTAGTTGAAGGTGCTATTGTTGGTGAATCTGGGTAACATTGTGAAAAACAAATATAATGCTTCTCAGTATTCTGACCCGTCTTATTCACTATGGCATATCCTTATAATGTACCAGCTGTGATACTAGTTGTTTCTACACATTTTATTTCCTTCCTTTAAATACTATGAACTGTGTTTTTTTCTAATACAAATTGTTAATACCCATTTTCATAAGGAAGAAAAATGAAGTTCAGTATTGTAAGTTAAGTTGTCTTGCATGCATTATTAAACATTCGCAAAGATTTTCTTCCAAGACTATGTCAATTTTAGGACATCCATATTATCCCCATAAATAATAATTATTCAATAAGTATTAGGAATATGGGACAATAAGGAACGTGGAATAATTAGAATAATTAGAATTTGTGAGAAAATTAAGGTTGCTTGTTAATATAATACAAATAAGAATGAAAGGATTAGAAAAGAGTATTTTGTAAGGAAGTTAGAAATGAACAAAAATGCAAAGAAAGCAAATTATTTCCAAATCAACACAACAATAATTAAACAAAAAGTATGGTATCTGTGAGTAGAATTAAAGCTTACAGGGAGAGCACCTTTTGGAATGAATAGTTCAGTAAAGCAATATAAGGATGACAGACAAAAAGCATTCCCATGGAATAAATTGGCTTTGCCAATTTGAGGATTTGAGGGATCTGAGGAATTGAGGGAAAGGAAAAATTCAAAGATAGCTAGCTAGCTTGAGGTATAAGCACTGGAAGACATGAGACTCATCTAGACATTTTGGGGAACAATGATTGGAGTCATTACAAGGACTTTCAAAATAGGTCTTTGGGTGGTGATTGACACAATTTGTATGAATTCTATTTTAGTGAATCTATAGATGCACAGCAATAGTTTTATAAAGACTTTTAAATGTAGAATATAAGATTTCATGTGTGTGGCTTATCTCATTTCATTATTCTTGCTGCCAGATTCACTTTATTTCTGCATAAAATGGTGACACTTTGGGTTATTGGGTTAGTTTTTCCTTTGTAAATAACCCCAGCACTCTTCTCTGATAGGCAATTCAGATTATTACTTATGAGGGCTATCAAACTGCAGATGCATTTAGCTGCATCAAAAATAAAATACCCATTGCCTTACAATTCATGATATGTCCAGAAAGCTTAAATATTTTAGTATGTATAATATATTTTGTCACTGTAAGTCACTTTCACAACTGACTGTACAAAAAGTTATTAGGTGGTTGCCAATATTTTCTCAAATTTGAATCTGCCTTGAATGTCATTTGCCAAAGTTTCTAAGACTAAATAACATAAAGAACTGTAATGTGCTTAAGGATGGAGGTGCACCTAATATAAACTACAACTAAAATGAAGCATTTCTATAGTGCTTGGGATTTTGTTATATTTTTATAATCAAATGTGGAATGAAGATATAACTATGACACACTCGTCTATCATCATGGGAGACTTATTTAATTCTGTCTCCTGAAGATCAAAGGATGAAGTACTAAAAGGCAGAGGAATGTTATATCAATGTTTATGTCGGAATGAGGTGGAAATTCCACATTTGTGTTAGGTAAAGTTACCTTCTGGGAATGGTCTCAGGTCGTATTCAGAAGTGAATAGTATATTGTTTGTAGTCCAAGAGAATCATTGGTTTCATCACTGTATTAGTTTCCTGCTGGTGTTTTAACAAATGAAGTCAAGTTTAGTGATTTAAAATAACACAAATCTGTAATCTGTCAGTTCTGCAATTCAGAAGTCTGAAATGAGTCTCTTTAGGCTAAAATCTATTTGTCAGCAAAGCTATGGTGCATTTTTGAGACTCCAGGTGAAAATCCTTTTCCTGAATTATTCTCATTTCTAGAATCTGCCTGCATCTCTTGGCCCATTTCCTCTTCCTCCACCATCAAACAGGTCACTCCAACCTCCATTTCCATCCTCTTATCTCCTCTTGTCTTTTTCTCATGACATTCTTAGGATTACTTTGAACCCATTCATATAATCCAGGATAATCTCATTATATCAGGCTTCTTTGTTTACTCAAATTTGTACAATTCCTTTGCCCCAGTTAGGTCATATAATTCCTGGTTTCAGAAGTTAGGATGTGGATGTCTTTGGAGCATGTTATTCTGTCTACCTCCCAAGGGCCTTGATTATTGATTCCTTCACAGGTATTCTCATATGCCCACCGAAATACTTTTGAATCCTAACAGCCAAGCCGGACAGATAACACGATGACTTTAATGGATCATTACCAACAGGGGAAAATAGAACAAACTAGTGTATGAATCTCAAGAGAAGTACCCAGTTAAGTTGTATGTGATGTGAAGAAGAGGAAAAGAAAGATGTGAATTCAACCACAAATACTCACATGTCCAGCTGGCTTTGGAGCCCACAATCCATTGCCCCTATCTCATTTCATTCTCCCCATTTCCTTCACAAAATCACTGATTTCTAATCCATTTTCAATTAAACAGATCACCATTATAATCACCCCTGTACACTCACTCACAGCTTCATTTTCTTTCTGGCATTTTTGCCAAATTCACACCACATTGATTTTCCACACTTTGACATTCTCAAGTTGTCACCAACTCCTCCCTACTTAATTGAGAATTCTGCCTTCCATCACGTTATGAAAACGAACTGATTGAAAAATAGTTTATACAATCTTCCCCTTTATTTATCCACTATCTACCTCTCCATGCATCCCCATACCACAAATTATCAGGAATCATCATTTGATTTTTTTTTCCCATTGATAAACTGGCTTTTTAATCCAATCTTTCCGCTTGTGCACAAATTCTCATGTGTATTTCCCCTTCTCATGGACATCATTTTGGTAATTCTGCTGACTTTCTTTTGCATTGAAAAAAAATTGTTTTTGTCTACGGAAACATTTCCATTATTATATAAGCATGTTGATATTTTCTTAACATGCTAAAAACCCTCTCTCTCTCTTTTTTTTTTTGACAGGCAGAGTGGACAGTGAGAGAGAGAGAGACAGAGAGAAAGGTCTTCCTTTTACTGTTGGTTCACCCAACAATGACCACTGTGGCCGGCGCACCGCGCTGGTCTGAAGCCAGGAGCCAGGTGCTTCTCCTGGTCTCTCATGCGGGTGCAGGGCCCAAGGACTTGGGCCATCCTCCACTGCACTCCCTGGCCACAGCAGAGAGCTGGACTGGAAGAGGAGCAACCGAGACAGAATCAGGCGCCCTGACAGGGACAAGAATCCCGTGTGCTGGCGCCGCAGGTGGAGGATTAGCCTTTTGAGCTGTGGTGCTGGCCAAAACCCCTCTCTTGATCTAATATTGCTGCCTAACCATTTGCTCATTTTCAGCTTTTGTTCATGGTAATAGCCTTTGAAAAAATACACATAGTCCTTTCTCTCCTTCAAATTTGTCTTAAGCGCTCCAAATAAGGTTTCATTCTAATGATATATTGATAGTACTTAAACAAAAATATTAATATAGTACTATTAATGACTCACACTAATATAATACCGTGCTCTGGGCACTTTATAAAGGAACTTTATTAGACTATTGGGATCTAATCCTAACACCATGCAAGATAGTGGACTGGGATTAAAATCATGACAGACACCTCTGAAGTCCACACGGTTAGCTTCTATGCCAGGTATGGCCTCTCTGACCCATAAGTACTCTCCATATTGTCAAACCTGATTATCAATTTTTTTTTTTTATTTTTTGACAGGCAGAGTGGACAGTGAGAGAGAGAGAGAGAGAGAGAGAGAAAGGTCTTCCTTTTGCTGTTGGTTCACCCTCCAATGGCTTCCGCGGTCGGCGCGCTGCGGCCGGCGCACCACGCTGATTCGATGGCAGGAGCCAGGTGCTTCTCCTGGTCTCCCATGAGGTGCAGGGCCCAAGCACTTGGGCCATCCTCCACTGCACTCCTGGGCCACAGCAGAGAGCTGGCCTGGAAGAGGGGCAACTGGGACAGAATCCGGCGCCCCGACCGGGACTAGAACCCGGTGTGCCGGTGCCCCAAGGCGGAGGATTAGCCTAGTGAGCCGCGGCGCCGGCCCTGATTATCAATTTTTGGTACATAATTACTTAGCAAATTCATAATCTTCCTTCTCAAAAAACTGTATTCAATTGGCATCTGAGATCTCATCTTTCCCTGATTTTCCTTCTATTTCTTTGCTTTTGATTCTCAATAGGAATCAAGCAAACAGATGCAAAATATGTGGTGCTTTGACCTTAAGGGCGTGATATTCAGTCATGCAGGGGGTAGCTTGGTGAGCAAGCACTCTTTCTAGAATGTTTTAAGAGAGATTAATTAAAATTACTATGGTGTTTAGAAGGAGAAGCTGATGAGCGCGCAATGGAACTGTGTACAGTTCATGAGGAGAAATACTTAGGTGACGTTTTAAAATATAAAAAGGGGGTTGACACAGATTGAGAAGGTGAATAAGTGTTTCAAGGAAATGTGAACACAGAAATTTATGGATGCTTGAAAAAATAGTATAAAAATTCAACCTGGTTATTTCACTTTCCCTCCTCCTATGCCTGTATTTGATTTTGAATCAGCACACCAGAAAATTGGGTTAATTTGCCAACAGAAATAGCAATGTGCCATAATGGTAGCTTTGATCCTGTTTCTGCATTATACTCATTAGACACATTGAGGGAACTTTTAATACGTATTACTCCCCAGTCTGCAGTCTCAGTGATTCTGATTTGATTTTTTATGGATGTGACCTGTTTTTAAAAGCTCCCCAGAGGAGGCCAATGTTTAGCCAGAAATGAGAACCATCCGGGTAGAAATAAGCAATATGAGGGAGGATGGACTGGACACCTAGACTCAAAACAAGATGAAGGCTAGTTTGTAAAGGAATTTAGTGAGGACTTCATCCTAGTGACAAGTATTATGCAAGATTATGATGTGTGCAAATCCATGTCTCAGGACAAAAATAAATTTAGAGAATAGTATGTGTTGGGGGATGGAAATCGTCATAGAACCTTGTTTATGAGTGATCAAGAGAGCTCTTATTTTAACTCTCTTGGTACTGGGTAGAGTGTCTGGCATGTTAGTCAGGATGCTAAAGAAGGAAGATATTTAGGGTGGTAAACAGAACTGCTAATGAGATAGCTGGAGAGAATTCAAGATTTCTATTTTTTCCTTTTTAGTATGAAGATCTAACAGAATCTGTTTTTTCAAATTAGATCTGTAAATCCTCGAATAAGCCTGGAAGCAAGTGGGTGGACTAACAAGTATTTCTGAGTATCTGAAGCAATCAGTTTGCCTTTAAGGGTGCAGGACTACTCTTGTTTTGAACACCAAATGCCCGTTTCTGAGTTTCTTGAAAAGTCATGAACAGTCACAGAGTAAAAATTTCATTACATACTACAGTGGCCACTAACAGCACTGCCAAGAAATAATAAAGGAGGTGACAGAACAACCCAAGGAGAAGTAGGAGTCAAGTAAATAATGTGTGAGGACAGAGAGGAACAAGCCACACTGTCTTTGAACACCTTGTGCTGTGCATCCCACACAGGTCCTCTTGCTGTTCCTCAACAGGCATTCTCATCTCCAGGGCTTTTCTCTCTTGCTTCCTTGAGCTTAGAACGTTTCCCACTCAAAGTGTGGCATGATTCCCCTTTCTCCACCACATTTCTGCTCAGATGTCACCCCATCCAAATCCCCACTCAAGTCTGCTGGTCACTTCATTCCCTTTCTCTGCCTTTTTTTTTTTTTTTTGTTTGTTATTACGACGGTCATGCTTACCTGTAATTAATTAATTATTCCTAGAAAGAAATCATCATGGCCCCAGAATGAACTACTCTTGGCAGGAAGGAAGAAATGAAAGAATGAAGAAAGGAAGGAAGAAAGGAAGGGAGGAAGGAAGGAAGGAAGGAAGGAAGGGAGGGAGGGAGGGAGGGAGGAAGGAAGGAAGGAAGGAAGGAAGGAAGGGAGTTAGACAGGGAAGGAGACAATTTAGGAGGGAAGTTTTTCATAAGAAAGATGACTTTTTCTGCTTTGACATCCAAAAGTCCATGCTGTAGGATGGATGTTATCAACTTATCTCTCAATAGAGGAAAAAATAGAAGACAAAAAGTTGGAGCAACCTGGAAAAACATGAGCTTACTAGTTATATAATAAAGGTGCCAATTGTAAACATTGTGCAAATTATATTTTCAGAGTGTTTGCATCCTCCACCCATAGGCACTTCCAATAGCATCCTAAGTGCATGTGTTTCATCCCATGGACCTTACATTTCCCAGAGGTGTGACAACTCAGGTCACCAGGGAGAGAGACTTTGTTAAAGTATAGAACACACAAAGCTCTTGAAACTAGGAATCTCATTTGTAGTATTCCGGGGATGGGGCATGATGTGAAAGCAGTTGTCACTTTTAAATTCACATATTAAAATATGTTCTGGGAACCACTTGTACGTCACATAGAACACTAATACCTTGGTCATGGAAGAGTGAAAATACAGGGTTATTGGCCTCAGAGAGCTCATAGTTTGTTTAGTAGTTGACAAATATTTAAAGACAGTTTTACAAAAATCAGTGTATGAGACATTGTTAAAAATTATTGAAAGAAGTAGGAGACAATGAGAATCCAATTTTTCCAGGTGCAGAAGGGTATAATTATTTTAAAACTCTTGTATATTTAGTCTCTGGAAGTTAATAATCAGAGGAATCAAATTAT